CTCGCTGCGGCCCGCTTCCACCAGACCCGCTGCTACAGGCGCAGAAATAAGTGCACGCCGCATTGGAACGCGGGTCCTCTTGCCAGATTATTAATTGAACATTTCCGTCACCGGCGTCACCGTTATTTCTCTACTGCTTTGCGTTTGTACAACTATATTAAAATTCCTTTGCATTCTCGCGTACATTGTGCTTAGTGCCCTCTGTCACAACAATTGCATATTGTCAGCGTTGGTTTTATCATTTTAGTTAGTACTTTGCTCTGCGCAAATGGTTCGAAGTTCCCGTGCTTTTTGGATTTATGTCCGGTTAGTTTCCCTGGTGACAGTTCTTGTGTCACGTCATAATAAGCTAAATAATAAATTTCAAATTGACGCATAAGTGTTAATAGTCGCGATTTTGCATATCTTGCTTCGCCGCAGCGGACCCCCGTGCTGAGGGGAAAGCACTCCTCCAGAGTAAAGCCCCTTGATAAAGGCGCTTTTTACAAGTACCGCCAAACATTGTTGTTGAACCGCGCGAGACACGTGCCACGAGCGGGTGCTCCGCCGCCATTCGCTTCCTATAGACGCTTTACACACGCGCCATATTACAGCCGCCATAGCTGACCTTCTCTTGTCTTACCGAGATGCCGAGCAACTGAAACGGTACTTGGCGATCCTCTACAAAGCCCGATGCTTTAGAAAAGGACACAGTTGAATCTAATGTGGCATTAACCTGACCTGCTATACTAAAGATGAAGTGAAATAGACGAAATAAGAGGAAGCAAAAACTGAAGGTCAGTTATGGCGGCGTCCATGCACAGCTGCTGCAAAGCGTCTATACTTCGTTTCAGCTTCGGTCCAGACGCAGCCAAAACTACAAGCGCGAGCTCCAGGCTTTCAGCATCCCTGCCAAGCACGCGCGCTCGTGCAGTGCAAGCACTGTTCTGGGCCACATGTTCGCGCTTGTAGCATCGGCTGCGTCTGGACCGAAGCTGAAACGAAGTATAGTGCCGCTCATTTCAGTGCTGCGCCGCCATTCGCTTCCAAGGGCCGCTCGAGACGCGGGTCTCGTGCACTCGCGCATTTTACGCTACTTGCACGACAAACGCAAACATATCGAGGGGCTTTACTCCAGAGCGGGACGTTTCATGCGGTTTCTGAATAAAACTGCGGCGAGTATATGATAGACCTGCGATATCCTGACGATATATTTTTTTTAGAGTGCAGCTTTTAGGCGCCTGTTTCCGGCTTGAGCGGCGTCGCCGTCGGCGTAATCGCGCGTTGCATCATGGGACGTTTCCCATTATGACGTCACGTGTCACGTCACGTGTCACGTCATGAGGGTCACTAGGGTCCCGAGTGGTGTCACGAAGGTCACTCATGAGGGTCAGAGACCTTCGTCGTGAAGGTCATGACTTTCACGAGTGACGTCACGAGGGTCACGAGTGACGTCACGAGGGAGGAGGGGAGAGGGAGGAGGAGGGAAGGGTATACCCTCCTCTCCGTGCCCTTCTCTCCTCCTCCTCAAGAGCTGCGCTCTAATTCGGCATTACAGGGAATTGTAAACGTCTTTCATTTTTTTCCTATTCGATATTCATCAATGATACTTGAGTATTGCGAGAAAACTTTTATGAGCTGCTTTATATGTTTATTTTTCATGTCAACTCTCGTTTAGCTGTTAACTTGTTATAGGTTCCGTCCGTTCGTTGGCGCGGTGAATACAGTAAACTAGAACTGAATTAGGTGGAGCATTAAATGCAAGCCTAAAAATAACCTAAACAAATTCGTTTCTTTTAGGAAAGCATGTTTATTGTTTACGTGATGATTTCTGTTGTCAAGTTCCGCTTATACGAGTAAAATCGGATTAATGTTCATAATCACGTGACAAAAGCTTTGTTTTCTATCTAAATTACGAACTACGGTGTTATTACAGCGTCTGAAATGAAAACATCCTTTTGCTTGCTCGAAGTTACATATTGTTACATATTCTAACGTTATTTCAGTGGAATATGCTATTTGGTTTACGTTTGATTTTCTATTTAAAATAACCACGCACCGTACTGCCCTTCGTTAATTAGCATGTTTTTATCGTGCCTTGTGCTTCTACGTGCAATGAAACTGATAGCCATGGAATCGAACAGTTACAGAAGCAAGGAGGCAAATTAGACATAAACACATGTATCTTAACATGATATTTGAACGGGTATGAATGAAACTTAAATATGCGCTCACGTTCAAGAAGTACTTTTTGCTGCTCCAAATTAGGTTTTTTCTTGGCCGCTCCGAAAGGTGCTTCAAAATGACTCGGACCAATCAGATCGCTGCTGGTGGCTAAACTGCGATACAGGGCAATGGGGGAGATCCTGAACCGAATGCTGGATTCCACAAAACAGGGCAGCAAAAGCGTGCAACGGGATGCTACAAACACGAAAACATCACTCATACAGCGATATCTCGAACGGATGATCGTATTTTCTAAAAAAAAGGAGGCGCATTTGACTGATATGCTCACGTCTTGTTTCTCCGAGAAGGAGAGGGAACCGCCTCGCCGTCCTGAGGCACGGCACCTGAGTGGGGCGAAATGAAGAGAGGAGAAAACGAGATATCTTGACGTCACGCGCCTCGTCGGCCTCGTTCAATCTCGACCTTTTTTTTTTTTTTTTTTTTAATACGGCCGTCGATTCGAGATATCGCCTTACGAGTAGTGTTGTAGGGATTGTAGCGTCCCGCCTACAGCCCCTGCATTGTTTTCTGAAATCCAAATTTCGGTTCACCATCCCTTTAAAGGGAAAGGTTGTTGGGGTGTTTGTGGTATGTGAACCCTGGCAGATTTGTCGGCGCGCACCTGCAGAGGGAGCGGGCAGTTCGCAAACAAGCTCACTACCACCCCCTATCGGCGGACCCCTGCGCGCTTCCGGTTTTCCTCTTCTTTCCCATTTGTCTCTCCGCCTTTTGTTATTTGCACTACTTTGTACAATGCACTAATGTTCTTACAAACATACTACAGAAACTTCTCTGAAGGAAACTCTTCTTACCCGACCGCTGTGCGTTGCTGAAGAATAAATAAATACACTACAGGAAGTCTACTGGGGCACCAAATACTGTGGCGCCCTCGTGGTATCAACTCCCACCGAATGTGGTGAATTCTGTAGTTAACTGGCGCTGGTGGTTTGCGGGAGAGGAGATCACAGTAACTCGGTGTCAGAAAATTGCAGAAATGTCTCATTGCTTGAGTGGGTGAAGCGCCGTTGCATATACTGCATTACTATAGCTTCAATCCCCACCCCTGCCCGTTTTAATGTGGGTGAGCACCGTACCGGCGTGCGGTCTGTGCATCCCTATTGAGCAGCGATACTGCACTGGCCAAATTTCTAATCTACAGCAGAGACGCCAGACGTCTATTGGGGCTGACTAATGTCCCGTTGTGTAAAGATACAACATCCTTATATGGCGTTACGGAAGATGTAAGGTTATTTTAGTGTATGTATTGTGCCTAAAAGTGCCAGTATGAGGGGAAAGGGTGGGAGATACGTACCAATGCGGAGGGCAAGTTCGTCTGCTTCTTGCGCAGGGGGTAGCGGTGACGTCAGAACGCCGAGCCCTGATTGGCTGATCGCGACCCCCTATCTGAGCGTCGTCTGCTCCTCTGCAACGTCGTCTGCTCGCAACGTCGTCTGCGTCTGTCTCACCTTTCCTGCGACTTTCGGAAGTGCAGAGGCCAGATTCACGAAACGATCTTACGCCAAAAATGTGCGCAAGACAGAACTTAAGAACAAATTCGTATTCACGAAACGAAATTTTCGTAAGTTTTGCGCAGGTTACGACGAAATCCTACGACAGCTCCGAAGCTGTCTTACGCACTTACGATCAAATCAGCATGGCCGACAGCATCGCGGTCGCGACGACCCACGGACGTTTATTTTTCTACGTGCGCTTTTCACGCGTCCCGACTTCAAGCAGCATGAAAAAAGTAAGAAGTACTTGAAACAGACCACGACGAACAAGAACGCTGGATCCACAAACACCCGGGAAAAGCTCCAACAGCCACGATACCACCGAACGCGACCAAGCGAGCTCCGCACTTAGGCCTAGCAGGCACTCCGCGACTCGGCGACCGTCTGCCCACGACCGGCTGGCGTGCTGAATGAAATATGCCCGCGCGACCCATGTGAACCCTTCCCGTATTATACTTTGATCGCTGACCTCAATTTTAGATTAAGGGGTCAATTTCTTCCTCTTGTAATCTCCTTGTTTCCCGAGGCAACGGTGACTCTCGCCGGTGAAAAAGCGGTGAATCTCCGACAGACGCAGGAAAGGTAAAGCAGCCATCGCTTTGACTAGCATATGTAAAGCAGACGACGTTAACTGCGCCAACCCGCCGGCGCCGTCAAAGAATGAGGGGTCTCGCCGCACACGAAAGGAGGGAAAAAGTATCTGGGAGGGAACTTGCGGACACTGAGCACCCTCACCTCTCGGTTCTTCGCAAACAAACCTCGGCGCCTCGGGACACCTCGCCAGTGAGTCCTTTGACTTCCCTCCTTGATTCGCGTCTGCTAGTTGTTAGACAAAAACAACGTACCGCTCGAGTTATTTCGTCTGCCCTCTTTGAAAGGCGAAGTCGAGCTCGCTCGTAAAGTCCTGCACTTCCGAAAGTCGCAGGAAAGGTAAGACAGTCGCAGACGATGTTGCGAGCAGACGACGTTGCAAAGGAGCAGACGACGCTCAGGTAGGGGGTCGCGATCAGCCAATCAGGGCTCGGCGTTCTGACGTCACCGCTACTTCCTTTCTCATGCGCAGAAGACAAAAATGAGCCCACTTGCGAGGCGTATAGGTTTGTGTACTTTGTTTATGTCTAGGAAATGCTGGGAGTATGTTTGTTTGGGGAGGGGGTGTTTGGGGGGTCTGTATAGATCACTGTCTGCAATGCATCTACTTCCGTTGGGCCGAATTATGGCTTGCAGTGTCATATAAAAAGTTCATTAATTAGTTAAATATGATTTCCTTTTGTCTGCCTTTAGGGGACCGGCGTCGACGGCGGTGAGACGTCGTCATGACTGCAGCCCACGTGACCTGCTCCCTTCCCGCGGCGCCATGACATCCGAGGCCTTGCCGCTGGTGCATGGCATCCTGGTGGTCCTCCTGCTCTTGGGACGGTGCTGCCACGGCGCCGAGCCGGACGCTGCGCTCAACTCCACTCGTAAGTACCTGTTTGCGGGACAATCGAAACCCGTGAGTTCAGCGTAGAGAGTGACGGTAACGCATTTCCCCTTTTCCATCTGCTTCGTCGGAATTCTCGAATAGCTAATCCGTTAGATATATAGTTCAATCTGAACGACACTGCGGCGGTTTCGCTTTGTCAATACTACAGTGAAAAAAAAAAAAAAAAGTGTCTGAATGAGGCTAGGTAAGGCGGCACGACTTTGCTGCTGCCTCGCACATGTTCTGGCAGGAGCACTGATCGGTTTGTGCAGTACCACCGACAAGACAAAGCGTGCACCCCCCCCCCCCCCTCCCTTACCCAACCGTCATCACTACTGGGTCCTCGCAGCGCTAACCAGACCTTCTTGATTGGTTCAGTCATTCACGCTTTATGGGTGCATCGTGGCTACTTGATATATATATATAGTCTCGATTGGGGGGCTCCCATCGGTTCCTCACGTGCTGCGCCATCTCACAACGTTTGTCAGAAATTCGAGCGAATATTCTCCACACTTTGCTCCGTGCTGGCGAGGCGCTGCCGGCCGCCGTGTTCGGTATCTTTGTCGTGACGTGATTGGCGGCATCCCCGAGCCAGCTTAGTGGAATCTGACTCTGCTGATGACGTCATTTTTGCTAGTTTTTCTCTCCGCTCTCGCGTTTTTCTACGTCAAAAGTTTAATTTTTTAATTGGCTATTACGACGCTCTTACTAATAATACCGAAATAAAACTTTAAGACGCATGATTTTAAGGGTGCCTACATTACAACTGTTACTGTTTGTTCGAATTTAGGGACTTCTTCAGGTTCCCCTTAAAACCGGTTTTACCTCTCCGGTCTTGAGTAGCCGCAACTGTGTGAACCAGATTTTACTACTCAGCTTCACTCCCATTTTATTGTAGTCTTCATCTTTAAAATTTATTAATCTTTTTATTTTTTTCGACAATGTAAACGTGAGAGAAAACAAGATAGCACACGCAGTTGCCGCGGCTAGTTCCAAATCGCAGCTACAGACGCGAAGCGCCTTGCCTGTGCCTGCATCGCCAGTTTCGTATACTATACTGTATGTTTGTTTCCTGCAACCCACCGCAAGAAAACTCGGCGAAGGATAAAACAGCACTTATCAAAACGACCTTCAATAGCGCCACCAAAAACCCGAATGGATATTTCTTCTCAATTTCTCTTTAGAGGTCTGTCTTTCCCCAACCGCTTGTTTCCTGCCAACGTTGCCAGGCTGTCGACCGCGCTGATGTTCGTGACGGCGCCCAAAAACGAGAACAGCTTTTCCTCCAGGTCGTTGGGAATCCCCAAAACATCGACAAACGTTCCGCGACGCCGTCTGCTAGCGTCATCTGCGGTGCGCGAGTCCCGGGTGCTTCAGCACCGCCAAAAACAACGCAAACATATATACACCCCCACATAGAACCGAAACCACTCGGGCACCAACGGACCAGCGCTAGGCCTAAATCTGTCCACAGGGCGACTTTCGCCTGTTTCTGTCCCTCCAATTCCACTATAGGTTCCACTGGGCGTTATTTTTTTCTGATGATTTTGGCTCTTATGATCCGGGTTATGGTCATTTACAGTTTGAGCGCGGTGTTCCCCCACCTTTGTCGCTTATGGTTTCTGTGCCCTTGTATTATGTTGATTTTCGTTCCTGCATGGTCAGGGCCTTTTTTTTTCTTTTCTCACTGTGTTTTGTACTGCGAATTGCCTGTGATAACGTACATGAACGTTTCTGTGGCAGCGGCTGCATACACAACTAAGACGCGATGCTGATTTATTTATTTTTGCCCAAAAATTATTTGTCCTTTTCGGAATGGGTGGGCGTGTACCATTCCATCCTTGTCCACTGATTGGACAAGAGCCGTTCTGTGCCATATCACCCACCCGTAACGCCTTTCTCAGTCCCGTCCGTGACACCTACCGAGTACAGGCCAGTTTTGTGGACCAACGGATGACACCCTTGTTTGCTGATTGTGCAAAATCCCATATCACCTACACCTTCAGGGAAAAAAAGGGTGTATTATTACACCCTGTGTTCCATATACGACACCCTAAAATTCATTTTGACCTACAGCGCGCTGACGTCAAACCGACGTTACAAACTTTCACGATGTGGCTTGATAGCCGAGGGGTACAACTATTTAAAATAGCTAATCTACGTGTTACTGACTTAAAAAAAAATAATAATAATATTTGGGGTTTTCCTGGCCCTACTGTAAAAACTCAGTGTTTTCTTTATGTGGTCTTTGATACGTATTTTAGCTGTTTAATGAGGTATATCTCACCGTTCTCAAGCCCGTTGTAAAAGTTGGGGCCGTCAGTGCGCTGTACGTCCATCCAAAGCTTTGAGGTGCATTATATTGGACAAAAGGATGTAAGACGACACCTTTTTATTTTAAGAGTGTACCCTTAACATTTACAGAATACACCCCAGTTTTATGGACCAATGATTTACACCCTTGTTTACTGATCTGACAAAAGCCTTTCTGTATCATATCACCTATCCGTAACGCCTACCGGGTACAGACATGTTACGCGCTCGGTATACAGGTGTGCCATTCATTGGCCCCATATGTCCCGTTAAATTAAGTGGGAAATTTTCTCCGCTAAATTGAATGGGAAAACGCTTCGCGTCCCTTCAGTGCCACGTGACCATATGATCCCCCCCCCCCCCCCCCCCCGATATTTATTGGTGGAAAATAATCGCACCACTAGATTTGGCGGGATTCAAGATCCGCTACAAAACCTTGCCCATGACAACTGTAAGCATAAAAAAAAAAAAAAGGCAATGAAGATGCGGAAACTCCGTAATGAAAAAAGAAGACTCCTACGATGGGTTCCGGGTCTTGCACGTCGCCGCTTAAAGTAAACATCGTGAACTGAAATCGCCGACTTTCACGGCACCCCGCTGCGGCTTTGGACGTGAAATGGACGCACCGTTCATCACGGCTTATATCGCCCGCTGCAAGTGACTCGGCAGTGGGTGGGCCTCCTGCTGCGTTCGGGATACGAATGCCTCCTTCCTCGCAAGCGCGGTCGTCCCGAGGCTCATCGTTACCTCCGCCATATCATTATCACGATCATTACCATGATTATTATTCTCATTATCTGCCTCAGCAGAATAAGACGCATAGTGGCGTCTCTTGGGTTCTACTCTGGTTCATTTTGAAAGCTAAAGAAGAGTGCACAAAGACCGAAACTGTTGCTAAGTCGACATTATGTCGAAAGGAAGAGCCAAATATCGCCCGAAATTCGGGAACCGTGTGGCGACAGTCGCTTAGAAGCTGTGCAGCAAGCAGGTGTTGTTTCTGGCAGTTGTTACTGGGGATTTTTTAGGCAGTTGTTCGTGGGAAATTTGTATGATATGACGTTACTCCTCTTTGTGCAGTCTGAAAGTCTGGCTATGCAAAACGCATGTTTAGTCGAAACGCGTTTTAGAATGCCCAAGACAAAAAATACGGTAGTAAATTGAACGATAACCTGTATGCTAGAATCTGGAGTTGCCTGTTTGTTCAACTCTTGGGCGGCACCGCGAACTAAGCTTTGACTGATGGTAGCTTGTGGCGTTTTTGTTTCTTTTTTTTTTTTAATCTCAGATGTATTTCTTTCGGGTAGGGCGTATGTTCTTGAATGTGCTGGTCACAGTCCAGAACTAACCGGGACGACTAACCTAGACTGCCCCAGTCAACTGTGCGGGCACTTGTTTTTGTTTATTCTTTATTGTTCTATAAGGCTCGTTCACACTCTTGCAACCGAGTACAACCGAGAGAGACAAGACCGGTTTTTTTAGCCTCTTGCGACGTCTAGGACCAGCTCCGCAGCAGCGCACCCGGTCCTAAGACGTCTCAAGAGGCTTAAAAACCGATCTTGTCTCTCTCGGTCGTTCTCGGTTACAAGGGTGTGAACGAGCCATTACTTTCACTTTGTGGCCCTAGCATTTGTAATAATTCAAGCTAAGCATGGCGTCTAACATGACCGGAAATCTCGGAAGTCATACTTTCGCTCTTCACCGCAACGCTCGTGGAGGTCAGATCTAGCTCTTTAGTCGTTCTCATGTCATCAAGTAAAGTCTTAGCATTGTTATATTTTACTCAAGTATTTTTTTTTATTTCTTTATTTTACAGCATTAGGAGTCAACATCACTACCAGTACCATTACACAAGCTCCAGAAACCACGCCACTCTTCGTTACTGAGGGGTCTACTTTAACCAAGACGTCTCTCGCTGAAGAGGTTTCTACCAGCCGAGTTGACGGCCAGAGTGCCAACCATTCAGAGTCTTTCCCGCAAGACAAAACTACCGCGCAGACAATTTCAACCTCAGCTTTGGCAAGGACATCAGCGCCTCCGCAACAGACATCCGCAATCACCACTGCCTCTCCCTTGTCGGGTTCGACGCACGTTGGAACACCCCCAACTCCATCACCTTCTGCAACCCCGTCACAGGAATTGAAGAATGACACGTCACTTGAGAGCTCTACACAGCCCTTCGAAAGCACGACCTCAAGATCGGAGAAAACATCGCCAACTACAACTAAGCCGCCTGAGCGTACCATAACGGATGCATCCGCATCAAACTCGACCAGTCTTGAGCAGAAGACTGCGACACCGACCATGACAACGCCTAAGCGTCGCGTCGTTGATGACGTCGACGACGTCGTCATGAAGTCGACTCCGACTGTGAGACGTCTCATGTTGGTCCTCCGAGGAAACTGCAGTCACGACAACCTCAAGACGGACATCGAGCATGCCTTCCAGAACCTCAGCCCCATTGAGAACATCAGCGTCACCGAGATCCAATGCAGCACTCTGCTTGACGTGAACGTGACGCTCAAGGCCGGAGAGCTAGAGCTCAAGCAGCTCCTCCGCAACCTGAGCCTCGCGAGGAACCTTCTGGTGAACAGTTCTTCGGGAAGACACTTCCAGCTCGCCGACTTCTCCGTCAAGGAACAGGTCTCCACCGACGGAGCACGGTCAGTGAGACCCCGCTGGAAACCGACACGAGAAGAACTCATCATCTACATAGCTGTCGCTGTCCTGTTCGTCATCGTCCTTGTCATCGCGTTCGTCGTCTGCAGCATCCGTTGCTGTAGGCGTCAACCGTCGAAGACGCTCGACTTTTTGGAGACTCCCAGACTGAATCTTCGCCTCGAAGACTACACACTGACCAGAATCCCGCGGCCGCACACCGTGTACGCGGACCACCTTCGCACCCCGGATCAAGAGCTCGGTGTCGTTCAGGCATTCGACACATGCGTTGTCCCTCTCGAAGACGTGGCCGTCCGCGACCCCCAGCCTCGGCGTCAAGAAGGCTGGAAGAGCCAACAACTCCGGACCTTCGGGAGGACCAAGAACTCGCCCTCTAGCGGTCGCCTGGTGGTCCGACGGACAGTTCCACCCGAAGACGATGACGAAGAGGAGTACCGGGAGTCTCTGAAGAACGGCAGGGTTCTGTCCACGTCGACGGAGCGGCTCGCCCGCAGAGATTCGGGCGGTTGGAAGCAGGGAGTTGATAACCCCATTTACTTCGGAGACCGTCGGAAGTCCAAGGGATGAGCCTTCGCACAGTGGCACTCTCTCTTGCAATATGGCGCAAAGTCGTATTGTCTCCCACTTAAGCCGACTGCATCCGGAGGATTAGGCCTAGCAGAATCTTGGCCGTCTTATTGAGATGCGCTCGTTTGGCGGCGGTTCCCATTCCGTTGTTTGAGCTGGGCTTAGAAAAGGGCTTCCTTTGGAAACTGAAGCCCGGCTAATTCTGAATGATGTCTGTTGTTGTGACGTAGGCTTAAACCTGCGCACGTGCCGAGTGAGCTCCGAGGTTCTTCCGCCGCATGCTCTACGTAAGAACTGGATTTCCCGGAAGGCAGGCGGTGTTTGCGACATACAGATGAACCTGAATTAATCTCCTTTGCGACTCCTGTACGTGATCCCCTCACCTTTGTTTTATGATACTTTACATTGTAGTTATATTTTTGTTTATTGTTGCTTTCGTGTTCTGGCAGTACCCGTCTCGTACGAGTTTGATTATAATCTCGTATTTTCAGTATTTTCTTTTTCCAGTGTCAATTTGGTGTGTTGTCGGAAGGATGAGTATCCTCTAGTTCCTGGACATTGACAGTATTTTAGTTTGTTGTCAGTTGTTCAGTCTTTCGGATGCATTTGACACGCGGTGACCCTTTGCGGACTCTGCTGCTGTTGAGTTATACTTTTTGTTATCGTTTATTTTGTTGCGCGGAAGACTTAATAGAGGTCACGGTACTTTAGGCCCGATAAAACCAGTCTCTGTTTTGTTTTTGTAACTGGCATTATAGCATACAAAGAAAAGAAGCCAAACGCCAAAGACACGTGACACAAAGTATAAGTGGTACTGTGAAACATTCACTGTATAAAAACAAATGTTGCTGTTCTGGGTCTATAGTTACCGCCTAACGTTCCCAGCATATTGGAATGAGCGCGTCGAGAAGACCTATACATAGTGTAATATCTTTAATTTTGTTGTTTTGTTTTGTTGAGTGTACTATGGTCCCGAACCGTAGCCGATGCGGTGGGTATACGCCAATACGCATGGAACGCGAAAGGAATACAGGAAAATATTCCATTACTTTTGTATTCAGACTTCTGTGAGACTCAATAAGAAATAAACAGGTGTGTACTACATTAGTACGCAGACATATTCGGTTGGTCATTTCATCGAACGTTGCACCAATATCGTTTTTAATTAAAAATATACTTTTCCGGAACCATAGCGTGTGGATGAACTACTCATATGGTGAGTTCCTCCGGTTCATGGTAAGTACTTTTTGTCTGTCTTTCAATATGCGTGTGCTTTAAGGCGCATCCACTTCGTGTTCAGTAGGGCAGCGGCCATCTTACAAAGTAGCGAGATCTTTCCACGATTCGCTCGATCTGTGCTCACAAACCAGGTTTAATGATATTTTGTATATCTATTGCCTTTTATATGCAGAAAGTCGAAGGGATTAGTCAACACATACCTTTAACTGGCTACTTCACTAGAGTATGAAGTATTAGGGAGAAAAAAAAGTTGGAGAAGAAAAAGAAACAAATATGGGATTCATATTTTTATAGTGCTCAGATAGCCATGTGAGATTTTTGTTCTCGCGCGCTTTTCTGTAAAACGACCTACCGCGTGTTTTCTTTTTTTTTTCCTTCTTTTTTAGTAGAATAATAAGGACCTACCGCATTTTTATGACTACAGCCTGCTGCCTGTGTATTATCCGCAGCAGAAAATTCCGTCTGATGACAAAAAGTTTTTCCTTAAGCTTCGGCAACACGAACAACCAATCGGAGAACATAATAAAGTGGGAGGAGATTGGTGAACAATTATAGGCTGAACATTTCACAGTGTATGGGGTAGCAGAAACGCACCTTAAAGTTGAGGAACCACCGTGCATTCCTGACTGGATGGGATGCAACTTGGAGGGGAGGTGAACGCAAAGGCGGAGGTCTAGGCATGTTGGTTAAAGGACAAGACTGGGAAAGAGAGAGAAAGCTGCAGAGAACACTTATGTTCGAAAGGTAACAGGTCTGAACACTCTTTTGGGATTTGCTTGCCTGAAAGCGGGAAATGACTCGAGGGAGGAAAATAAATAACGCTTTACATGTATATCGGAGGACATCGGAGAACTGGGCCTTAATCATTAAATAATTATAGGAGACTACAAGAAAAGCCCATTTAGAAGAGTTTGACGGATTCACAGATACAACTGGAAAGTTGCTAGAAGATTTCTGTGATGCTTTGGACCTAGTGTTAGTGAATGCACAAGTAAAATGCGACGGGAAAATAACGTGGGAAAGAAAAAACTCGCACTCAACAATAGACTACTGCCTCATGTCCCGCAAAATTTATGACAGGCTAGGAGTATGGAAATAGATGATAAAGGTACAAAAAGCTTAGGGAGTGACCACAAGGAAATTAAGATTAAATTTGGCGCATCCGAACCAGAACAAAAGCTCGGGAACGAGAGGGTAAGCTGAAACTAATTGAAGCTCAAATACAGAACGTATCTAAAAGCATTGTAACATAGTATCGAAACAACTAGAAAAGGAATTTACGTAGGAGGATCTAATAGGAATCCTTAATAAAAGAATTAAGGAAGCATCGGATTGGAGAGGACAGCAAAAACGAAGACTCAAACCGAATAGCTGGTGGGATAAGGAGGTCAAAGCAGCCATATTGCAGCGCCAAGAGGCACATCTAGGGAGCATATAGGTGGGCGAAGAAAAGGGGGGAGCCTTGCCAACTGTGGTAGCATCAAATTGGGAAAACTTACAAGAGCGGAAGAGGGAGGCATCAGCTTTAATGCAGGCCAAAATTGGGAGTGCAAGAAATCGGTGGATGATGGAAAAAGAAAGGAGTACGGCAAAAAGGTTTTGGGAGCACATTAAAGCGCAGGCAAGAAAGACAGGGTTTGCAACACTTGCTAAACACACAGGAGGGGAGAAGAGTAGAGGGGGAAGAGTCACGGGATTATATTAGGCGGACGATCGAAGAGGCTTTCTCCCAGCTTGAGCAGAGGGAGACGGTGAATAGCACTAGAGAGTTTTAGTAGATCTTTTTTTTCGCCCCGATAACGACAGCCCATAACGAAACGATGCATGCCCAAGGCCGGTGGGGAGGGGATGTATCGTTATCGGGGCGAAAAAACGATCTACCAAAACTCTTTAATGAGCAACAGAGTAGAGGAGGAGCAGAACTGTGTAACAACGGAGACGACCACAAGAGAATAGCAAAAGGCAGAAAGTAAGGTTCCAGTAGGTACTGCGACAGGCCCATACCCATGGAATTCATTAGGACACTAGGAAAAACAAGCAAATTGAAGTTACGACATGTGATAAATCAAAGTTTTATGGGATGAGAGGTGCCCAATGAGTGGGAACTAAGTATGAAACGATACCAATATATAAAGGCAAAGGAAACAAAGGTATATTGCTCAATAACGGTAACTTCAGTTTTACACAGATTAGCCATGCAGATAGCAAAGCGGAGAATGGAGGAATGGGCAGAAGAAAGGCAAATACTGGGTGAGCTCCAAAACAGATGCCGAAGTGATAGAAGACTGGAAGATAACTTATTCGTCACCGCACAAAGTATAGAAATAGAAGATATGGTTAGCTTATTCGGGCATCAAAAGAACGTACGATTATGTGAGCCAGGAAAAACTCGGGTCAGCTGAAGGAATATATAACTTAGATGCAAATTTGGTCAGGCTTCTTCAGCAAGTGTACAGTACACATACATTAAGGTAGTTATAACATGGAAAGCAGCAATAAAAAGAGGTCGAAAGAGATTTTAAGAGGTTTCAAAGCACTCGGTTCTAAGTCGCAAGTGTGTAAATGGTAATGTAGTGATTGCGCAGGCGAGCTGGTGGATGTTAACCATTTTGTTCTATAGCCCGAGACTGAGGCAGGAAAAGAGGAAAGTTTCGAAGTAGAAGAAAAATGAACAGTCGAATAGAGACGTGTCCTCGACTGTTCATTTTTCTTCTACTTTGAAACTTTCCTCTTTTCCTGCCTCAGTCTCGGGCTATAGAACAAAATGGGTAAAAAAGTGTAAATGGTCCTTTAGTCTTTTGCACTGCTGGAATGTGTCAAAGCTTTCACGCGTTTGGATTTACGCATAGTGAGTTTTCTTAGTGTAATGTTGTCACAGGTTTGCTTATATTCTCTGTTTAAACACAAAGGACTGCCGACCAGGCGATAGGTCCACGCCTCCGGTGGAGTCTTGCCAATGAAGGGGGGACCACAGTTTTGCAACGAAACGAATTTAATACTGCAAACAAAACAAACAAAAAAAAACAATTAACAAGAGCCGAGCTGCGAAAACAACAGGGCTCGAACGCACTTCACCCGGCCGGTGCACGGGCGTTGAGGATAAAAACACTCAACACACAACGATTTAGTCAAAAACCAAAGTCTACAGCTTAGTACAATGCATTAACCATCGCTTACGCAAGAGCTTCCCCGAACACGAAAAAAAAAAAAATAATAATAACTTCGGAGCTTAAATGTTATCAAATAATACAATCGGACACCCGTGAGAATAAAAACCAACTAACAGAAATACCGCTTCCTTATTTACTACAAAGAGGAAAGTGCGAGTGGAGGGGAAATCTCGTCTCACAGTGTCCGCGAGGGACGGTCTTGCGAGGCGCTGTCCGAAAGGGGAAGGAATGGTGGTACCACGGTGGGTTGGGCGGCTTGAAGCGGCCACACAATCACACACACACACTTCGTCGTCGAAGTCTTCCCCAGTCCGGACCTGGCCCGCTACCGTTGAGCTCCACGGACTCGACGCTTGATTCCCCGCCTGTTGCTTCCGAGTTTCGCGCTCACACTGCCCGCCTTTGCCCCAAAGAGTCCCCCTCGACGGGCCCCCGCATTCCAGCACGCAGGCGAGGAAAACAAAACTAAAAAAAACCAAACCCCAGGACGCTGGCCCGCTCGTCCCTTCGCCCTCCTCCAAAGGCAGCATCGCTTCGTTTTCGTGGGAGTTGGGTCCCAGCCCTCACACACCGCGAATTTCTCGGAAGGACGCGTCTAGCCCGGGAGAATGGATAACGTAACACAGCCGGATTTTGTGTCATGAATAATATAACATAGCCGGATTTTGTGACAGTAATGTCACAGCTAAGTATTAAATTTCAACATGGTGTATGTATCCATCCACCATAAAGTCTTTAATACTTTCTCTAACATGAATTTCTCTGTTCAAATGCTTCTCTAGGTTTATTTATTTGGTTTTTTCTCGTTTTTAGTTACTCCTTTATCTCGGCCCTCAAGACCGCGACAGATCCTTGGCCAAGAAAAACTCAAAACTTACAAGCCACAAGAAAGAGGCAAAGAAACCCAAAACGTGCAAGCCACAAGGAAGTAGAAGCCTCCTCGACAAGTAAAACGCAGTGCAGTGTCTGCGCGCTTTTTTTTTTTAATTTTTTTTTTTAAACAGTTGGTTAGTTATTGATAAGAATGGAGCACTCAGTTCGGGGTCGGGTTTAAAATTATAACCGATCAACCGGGGTTACACTGCTTATACATCATACAAAAGACAGTCTGCATAGAGATTCGAACGCGAGTCCCCGTGAGATCCGTGCTTCGAATGCCGCGTGGCAGTGAGTTCAAGGAGCAAACTTGGCACGCGGCATTCGAACTCTGGGCATATTGCGGTGACTCGTCTTCGCAGACTGTCTTCTGTATATGATGCATGAGTAGCGTGACCCCGGCTGTATAGAAGCTGTTGCCATTATTGATTATTGTGACATTTTTCCGATGATGTACTCACGTCTTGCCACGTAATACGAGTATTTCGCTGCGGTGAGTGAAAGCCTTCCCTCTCCCACCTCTTTTATTGTTTGACCTAAATAAAATGGCACAATGTTAGTAGTCTGTCCTTTGTTAAGTTTCGTGTTTAGAAAATACGCGTCTGCTTGAAGTTGGTGTTACGAGACAAAAATAAAATAATAAACGAAAATGACATTTTATTTGAGCGCATCCTCTGGGCCGAATGTCGCAGAGGGCGATCTCATAACTGCGATCATCTTTGTAGCGACACGAAGTGTCCCTGCAAGGATGATCGTTTATAATACCAATATAATGAAACAAAGTACTATAAAATTACTTTCACCATACTCCGACTCGGAAGAGTTTTTGTTTTAA